ATTAATACGAGTATCGAACATCACCCAAGGACAAGTGTTAAATTTGGATAAAAAGTGAATGAGAAAATATAGAAAATGTTTGTCTCGCTTTGGCGAACAGATTAAAATTGAATGCGTAATAAGTCCATTGTATAATTTATGCATAATATACGTTAAGTGCATCCTTTAGTTCTGTAATACGGTAATTTCGGGGGGAAATGTGTTTGTTGGGAAAATGTTGCACTTGCGCGTTGCTCTCCATTGCTTAGTGCCAGGATTTTTATACACACTTTGGTAGGTGGTGATTCTAATTTATTTTGGGCAACGATCGTGACTGGCAACTCTCATTAACTTTCATTTTCGTTTGACCCGCAATTAAGTGTGTCATTATGATCAATTAAAAACAGGTGTGACCACCTTGTTCGACAATAATAAACTTTTCAACCGTTCTAATCGCGTTAATTCTTCAGATGTCGCTCGAGGATGGAATCTATTTATTTTATCAACCTCATGTTCATATTTGCTCTGAACGTATTCTTCTTTTTCTCAGAAATATGTTTAAATTCCTTGGTCATACTCAGTTTCTGGAGGTCTACACAACTTCGAAAGAAATTATGTTATTTCATGATTATGGTTTTGTCCTGTTGCGATTTGCTCGCGGTTTTAACTAATAATCCATTGTTGGCGTTTATTATGATGTCATGGCTGACTGGAAAGGTGGATGTAAATGCTAGATGGGCTCATAATTCCTTTAGAACGCCAGGTATTTTCCTTGGTTTTTCATATCTTGCTCTCTTCGTGATGAATTTCGATCGATATTTGGCGACATCTTATCCTCTCTTTCATCGAACATCGGTAACGAAGGCAAGACTTTTAACTCTTCTTGCAATACTGATCATCGTCGAAATAACTTCGAAAGTGATGTCTGTAAACGAGTTTGTTATTTCTTTCCAAGTGCATGGTCTAATTCTTTGTATTCTTTTCTTTCCTGCAATGTTATTTATCAACTACAAACTGTTCCTAGTCGTCAGGAAAAGTCCTAGAAACAAAAGAATGTCACCCACTCTTTGAAAAATATATTTTTAATTTGAAAAATAAGACTTTTAACTCTTCTTGCAATACTGATCACCGTCCAAATTATTTTGAAAGTGATGTCCTTAAACTTTGTTATTTCCAGAAAAGTACATCTCCTAATTCTTTGTATTTTCGTCATTCCTGCAATGTTATTTATCAACTACAAACTTTTTCTAGTCGTCAGGAAAAGTCGTAAAAACAAAAGAATATCGCCCGAGATAAAAACACCGTTTTCTTTGAAATATATATCGAGTTGTTTGCTGGTAGCCGCTTGTGTTGTGATGTTCTCCATTCCAATGGGTGTCTACATTGGATTAAGAGCAAACTCGCCAGAAACAGCATATACTTTGGATAATGCAAACCTTTCACTGTTCTGGAATAAAACCATAACTTTGATGAATTGTACATTTAACTGTTTAATCTTTTACTGGACAAGGTGTTACGTACCGAAGGATTGAAAGTTCTGAAAAGCCTGAAAATATGTCGATGGGTTGAACCCTAGCTGCACTAAAAACCCTTCTTCAAAAAAACTTAACGCTCGAAGGAAACTCGCAAGATATTGTAAATGGAATAGTAAATGTGAACACAACGAACTATATACACTTATATCGTTCTATATATTATTATTAATATGCATATCATCATCAGTATAAGAAAGACAGTAGCTGTAACTAGGCTATATAAGACACTGTTATGCTTGCATGTAATTTCATCCATTCCTGAAGATGACTAAAATATAGTCGAATAAAACGTATAAAAATAAAAATGCTTTCATTTCTTTAAATTATTTCATTATATACATAGTGTATAAAAAATTTGCCATGTTATTGCATGCGTTAATGGGTAAGTATAGATTTAATTTTCCCATCCTAATAAAGATTAGGCATTTAACTATCGAATGAGATATTCTTCTCAATAATCATTGCGTTAAAAACTGAACTAACACGACCAATTTAAAATGGCCGATTCTTCTGCCGTTCCATGATAATTGCAAACGGGAATGTCTGAGTGTTGAAATTATTCTCTGAAAGAATAGTCAAAATTTAAAAGAGTAACAAGGAATATAGCTGTCAAAAGAATACTCAAATAATCAAAATAAGAATAATCTAGTCTTGGCGATTAATTTAAAGATGATTCAACTCGTCATTAGACAAGGAAATTTTGTGGTCCAATAATTTAGTTCCTTTGATAACCAAGCCAACGAGAATAACTAACCACACTGCCAATTTGATAGATCACATTTATACTAATGTTCCCATTCATGACACTGTTTCAGGTATTGCTTTGGTTGATTTATCTGATCATTTTCCTGTTTTTTGCATTTGTAATGTATCACTTTTCAAAACAAAACAGAAGATTTATTTTAGAGACTATAGTTCGTTCAATAAAGAGTTGTATCTGGCTGACATGCAGGCAATCGATTGGGAAACCATCTACAATGGCGCAAATGGCCTCCACGAACTAACATCTGATTGCATACAATCCGTTAAAGAGGTTATTAATAAACACGCGCCACTAAAAAAGCGTCTTTGTCTAAAATGAAACAACTTGCCAAACCTTGATCTCTAAAGGCTTACTTACTTTGATAAACAAAAACAAACAAAAATTATATAAATCAAATTTTTTCAGTGAAGATCCGGAAAAAGTGCAGAAGTATAAACAGTATTCCAATCTACTTAACCAGTTAAAAACTAAATCAAGAAATGATTATTATAATCAACATTTTCAGCTGTAGCAAAATAACCTTAAAGAAACATGGAAGCTTATTTGCACTTTAATTAAAAGGAAAACAAAAGGTCAACCTAATTCTCCAACTAGACTGATGATAAATAATAAACTTTACACAAAGCCAAACGATGTTGCTGAGCAGTTTAATCATCACTTTATAAATGTAGGTCCAAATTTAGCTCTAGCATGATTGACAATACAGACGATGATAGTGACCCACTTAAGTATATAGTAATAGCTCAACTGATAGTTTTTTTTTTCTCACCAATTGATGAAAATTACATAGCATATCTTTTTCCTAATCTGGACATAAGGAAAGCTTCATTAGATATTCCAAATAAATTAATAAAATATGCTAGCTTAGAATTATCGAAACCCTTCTCCTATATTTATAATCAATTGATTATGCAAGGCGTTGTCCCCAACATATTAAAGGTCTCTAGGGTAACACCTGTGTATAAGAATGGCTTAACAACAGACCCAACAAATTATAGGCCTATTGCATTATTGTCACCTTTGAGTAAAATAGTTGAAAAGATTATAGCGGATCAACTGACTTCATTTATTGAAAAGCATGAAATTTTATTTCCATATCAGTTTGGCTTCAGGAAAGGATATTCTACAGAGTTGGCCATTTTTGAGATGAGTGATAATCTCAGAACCTCAATGGACCTTTAACCTTATAACTACAATTTTGATCTAGACAAACATTTCATCACAGCTTGAAAGAGCATCACGAAATTAGTAATATTCCAAAGTTTCGTTGCGAAATGTTGTAATATGCGGATAATATAGCCTTGCGAAGTTTGCAATTTTCAGTCATTTTAGATTACAAACGGGAAATTGATACCCAAATCGACTTCTACTCTGTGCAATGCTTCATGCAACTTGTCTCGCAACGATTTTGACCATTGCAAGGCATGTTAAACGGTGCAATGACTCGTGCAACTTGTCTCGCAACGCCATTGCGAGACAAGTTGCATGAAAAATTGCACCGTGTAACAGGGCCTTTAAACATCACCCAAGGACAAACGATTTTTTGTTGTAAAATTCTTGTTAAATTTGTATAAAAAGTGAATGAGAATATAGAAACTGTTTGTTTTGCTTTGTCGAACAGATTAAAACTGAATGCGTAATAAGCCCATTGTATAATTTATGCATGATATATGTTAAGCGCGCTCTAGTTCTGTAATAATTTCGGTGAGAAATGTGTTTGTTGGGAAAATACTGTTCTTGCACGCTGCTATCCATTGCTTAGTGCCAGGATTTTTATATAAACTTCGGAAGGTAGTCATTCTAATTTATTTTGGGCAACGAACGTGACTGGCAACTCGACCGACGCTTAAGCGTGTCGTGTAAAAACAGGTGTGACCACCTTTTTTGTAAAAACAGGTGTGACCACTTTTCAACAGTTGCGTTACAATCACGTCAATTCTTGAGAAGAAGTCGCTCGAGGATGGAATCTTATTATTTTATCAACCTCATATTCATATTTGCTATGAATGTATTTTGCTTTTTCTCAGGAATATTAGACCATGGGGCGAAATTTGTAAACAGCTTAGAAATTGAAATTCGTTCCTGAATCATGAAACCAATCAAAACTCGGGCAATAGGTGCAAGAATATATACTAAGAGTAAATACACAAATTTGTTCAAAAATTTCCTTTGCAAAATCATCAAATTCACGCGACTTTTCGGTATAAACAAAACCCGTCCGCCATCTTGGATTACAAGGCTCCACTTAGATACTTCATGTTATTTTGGCCCCTGTGACAGGATACTTCATGTAATTTAACGTTATTTTTAATCAGGTAACATTTGCAAAATTGAATAAACACGCTAATCGTCGAAAATTTAAGGCGTACTGGAAAATTTCGTAAATAATATATATTCTTTTAATCATATCGTTTATAACTTCTTTCAATTTCTCAAGTAATCAAGAAGCGCGAATATGCACGCGCGATGGTACACAGGCATGTTCACTATTAGGATATGTTTATGTAATATGTATTATTTTTAAAAATCCCCAAAAGTAGAAAAAGGAAAATCGGTTCATGTAAGTATAGACATCACTACGGCATAAAATGGAAGGAACTGTTCATTACACCGCCACAAAAACGAAAACGTTCACCACACCAGCAGGGACCTTTCATGTAATAATCTTTTTATAGACATCACGGATGAGAAAGAAGGAACTGTTTATTTTTTGCGATAAAACATCATATACTAAAGGGTGGAAAATCCAAGTCATCCTCAACGGCGCTGATTTGAGATGAATCATCGGGTACTTCGGTTTCGTTGTCATCTTTCCCATTCCCACAGTCCTTGCATCTGCACATGTCTGTACATAACAATTTGTTCGTTAAACATGAACAGCCACCCTTAATGCACTTGGTAGTCTCACAGCCGCATTTAACATCCTTCAGTAGATATTCTGGAGCCGCAGGTTTGGTCTTCCACACAACATCAATAACTCCGTCTTTGACAGACCAGCCGTAGCCGTCAGGAGACGGAGCATCTATGGTTTGCTGAATTGCTCTTTGGTGTATGGCAGCTTGATACGAACTTCTCTTAATATGTTGTAGCAACCCATCTTTACACGGTGGCAAGCTTTTTTTCTGATGTTGTTGCACAGAACGACTTGTACCTGCAAACATCTATTTCCTCTGATGAATCACCATACAACTTGCAAGTGAATTCCTCCAAGACTTCCACAAGCTCTGGGGATGCTGTGAATGACTCGCCGAGACCAGCAAAGCATTCAATGAACTTTGGATCTGATTTCATTACATCGTACGCCTTCTTCTTTCCTTTACCGTAAAATGCACTTGTCGAGTCGCAACCACTATAAACATGCAGACCAATAAGACTTCTACAGACATCTGTTCCTAATGCTTGGACCATTGAATCAATAGAAATGATGCGTTGTAAATTTCGCTTTCCAGTTTGGAAGTATAGATGTGGTACGGCTACAGAAAACCTTAAACAAATGATGGCGACATCAGTATCTGGACTTCTAATAACCACAGAAGAATGCTCACCCGTGTCACTGGCGTTCTTGGCGTGTAGCAGGAGACGAGTGTCTGCTTCTTCGTAGCCAGCGTGGCCGGCTCTTTTATAACTAGAGCCTGCCCGAAAGCCCTAGTCAAATTGATGCCGCCCACTTAGTTAATATTCCATATTAACACCGGCCACTCGAAATAGTTTTGTATAAATTGATGACTTAAAATTATTTACTATAGCCTGCGCTACATGCTTTCAATAAACTTTTTACAATAGATGGATAGCGATTCAACTGCCTGGAAATACAAGCAAAACGTCGGCTTTTCGAGCGAAGGCCCTTCGACTTTGTCTGGAAATTAGTAGTAGACGAAGACCGTTCAAAATTATATTATGCTTTGCACCTGTATGGCTGTACTACAGTTATAAATATTGCAGTATTAGATATAATGACTTAGGAAAAGTTTAAATGCACCCCTTCCCGTGTTATACTCGTTGGCAGGCAAATGTATTTTAAATGCTCCAAAGAGAGCTTCGTATTATTATGGTGTATTAAACACAATCGAGAATGTATTGTTTTATATAATCGTAATTTGCCAGCCAGCAAAATATAAACAAGGCAAGGACAGCCAAGGTTTTATACTCTATATACTATAGTGACCATACGGTAAAATCATACGACATATGCAGTAATAGCAGTATGGCTTGCCGTATTCTGTTTAGATACCGGTATATGTTATACATTTTACACTTTGTCTTTTGAATTTTATATTTTAGCCGACAGGTTTACACTTTAATATAGCGATGCCGTTTGTTACCTCCGCCAGGAGGTTATGTAATCATCTGGGTTTGTATGTGTGTGTGTGTGTGTGTGTGTGTATGTGTGTGTGTGTGTGTATGTGTGTGTATGTGTGTGTGTATGTGTGTGTGTGTATGTGTGTGTGTGTTTGTCTGTGAGCACGATAACTCAAGAAATACCAAACATATCCGTACGAAATTTTTCGAATGCATTTCCCATCGGCTAACGAAGAACAGATTAAAATTTGTTTGAATTTGGTTAAAAATTGAACGAGAAATGAACAAAATTTTGTCTTGCTTTTCCCGGTCAATTAACAAAAAATATTACTGAATGCGTAATTAGGACGTGTATAATTTATGCACTCAGTGCTAAGACAATAATGAGATGATAAACCTCATTAAGCTTCGGCCTTCATTATCTATTGTCTTAGTTGCATTTCACGCGACCGAAATTCAATGTCTAAAACAAGGCTTACGGAGTTACGCATTATTACGTTCAGCAAAGTGCCAGTCCATTCAAATTCTAACAACATTAGATTACTTCAATACAGGTTGTATAAAAAGAACGCAACCTCGGAATTTCCCAAGAAATCGACATTGTTTTAAAGACAAAAGATTTTAGCTGCCTGGGAATTTAAAATAGCACAACTGTGAAAATTACTGCACGCGCAAGTTTTTATTTTACAAGTACTGTACAGTACAACAACAGTAATATGTTCTATTAGCAATTCGATTTCAATTCGCGGGGGCCTGAAATCTTTTATGCTTAAGAATTATAAAGTGGATTTCTTAGGAAATTCCAAGGTTGCGTTTCACTTCCGAGTAACGGGCGGAGGTATGCAGTCTCTGACTGCCCTCTAGTTTTTACTGTATTTATTTTTAAATATTTGAATAAATTAGCGTAACATGTCAATCAAACTGTCGTCAACGTAATTTCAGCCAATCACAATTCTCGGCGGCTGGCTGCCCAGAGTCGTCAATTTGACTAGGGCTTTCGGGCAGGCTCTCCTTCAATTCAATTCCTCAACATCTTCGACATGACATTTTCCATGAGTATCCCACGTGAGTTGATGACAGTGAATCCCATGCGAGATGATCAATTTGATATTCGTTCGAAGATAAAGATCTTGCCAGGTTTTGAAAGGAAACTCAACAAGATGTTCCTTGTTAGATCCATGAGCAAGAAACTTCTTGAATTGACTTGGTGTTTTCTGGGTCTTTCCATAAATCTTTATAACTTCTGACCCTTTGCCGGCTCGTCTGGTACGCTCTATTCCTTTAATGCTGATAGTGGGATAAGTGTCAGTCACAAAGTCAACTCGCGTGCTTTTGTGTGACAACGCGCTGGATATTACTTGATTTAAAATCTTCTTTGGAAGCTGTTCTAATGTGGCTGGTAGATTCTTTAATGTTTGTAGCAAAGCCATGCCATCGATCACGAGAGGACTGTCAACTGGAACTGCCTGTACACAATGATTCTGGACTGTCTTAGCCTCGCATTCGAGCACATTCAGAAGAGCGCTTTTATTCGTCTTAACAAGTGAGTCCAATCCATTGGAAAGAGGAAAGGGTATGTCTCCAAGACAATACGTCATAACCTCTCTCATGTCGATCTCCCTAGATTAGCTATACCACCAGAAGATGGGCATACAGGGATCTTGAGTTCTTTGAAATCGTTGAACTAGAAACCTTCGTTGATGTATCATAGTTGTGTGCGAATGTTTTCAAATTGACTTTCGGTAAAGTATCATACAAGTTAATTTTCCCATCTGGATTGATCCTGTCCTTGAGAAATTGGGTCATGTTGGTTTTTCCAATAGGGTACGCTTGAAGAAGATCATCTTTCACCTTATCGATTGCGATTGCTCCAGAGCTAATGTTAACAAGATAGGAATTGTCTTCGCTGGAAGACCAAGGATTCAACATGCTGCATATTGTATTCTTAACAGAATGGACCAACTCACGCCCACGTCTGATACGGGTTTTATCGAGCTCTTTAGGCTTTCGATCAGACCTTTCTAAGCCACACATTTCTTCACAAATACGTGCAATCTCTGCACGTTCAGGTTGTGCGTATAGCCACCGCAATACGGCTGATCGGATGAGAGTGAAACGTCGGATTCCACCTTGGATCTTGGTATCCCTGTTTAATGTTTCTTCGAGGCCTTGGTCACAAGATATCGATGCAAAAAGCCATTTATCTTGCCTGTGGATAGTCCAAGAGCCCCTCATCTGAAATTCCTCGTAAGCAAGCGGATGTGTCATCTTCAAATTGCACATTTCCGTCCAGTATGCAGGAAGATATCTTGCATAATTTGTCCGATCGTACGCGAAATACCATGGCATCATATGTTCTATGATAGCCAGATGAAGGTTAAAGTCTGACGTCCTAGTAGCTCGGATAAATACGAGAAGCAAGGAGATCGACGATGTCGATTAGGGACGAAAAGATGATTTTGATTGGATTTCTTCTCTGCGTTTTCCAACCCATTCTTCATACTCCAACTGTGTATCGAGGATATTTTCGTCAACTTCTGCATGGTTTTCCCAATTAATTGCTGTAAGAGTACTGACAATTTTCTCATACTTCGCTTCATCAACTGATTCAAGATATTCTTGAAATCTAAGTTCTTCCATGGTTTCATATACTATCTTGTAGGCATGTATAGATCTGTTGTAATGATGACCGGAGATTACACTATTGAGAGAACCTTCTGCCACAACACCTGCTTCGATGAGGATATCACTTAAACCAGCGTCCCCATTTCGCTTGCCAATAACTGACATGAAACTCATGCAGGCGTGAAACTCGCCAAGACGAACAACTAACTTTTCTTGGAGATGCTGATCTGCCCAGCGGATTTCTTGGACTTTGGCATAAATTGCTAGATCAAAGACGCATATGATATACTGACTTCATGTCGATGGATTTGTATATTACAGTGTTCACAGTGTTGAGGTCGGTTGGAGATGCCTCGATAACGGGTAAGTAGTGAATCTTGGTTTGCAATATGGCATAGTCGTATTTCGTTATGTTATATCCAGTCCAACCAGGAACATCATCTCCACCATACATACGAGCCATTATAAACATGAAATCCCTGACCTTTGCTTTGGAGAGAAGGTCTTTCCAATGAGCGGGAATGTTTGGCACATTCGTTGAAGGACCAACTCTTTCTACCCTATTATAGGGAACCAAATTTTCCTCTGCTTGAGTGAAAACTCTAACCCCTTTCTTAATGATTGGAACATTAACTTCTTGTGGTTGATCAGTTGCTTCATCTTCACATGTCTGTATCAATATACCATTTGTATGATGGGTGGTACCTTTGCCAGAAGACGTTTCTTCATTGAAATCAATGTTGTCCCACACAACAGTTGGGATGCTACCTACCTTAAAGCCTTCTGGTACTTTACCAGCTTGTGAGACTCTATACTTTGCCAAGGCAGTCTCGTACGAAAGAATTGTGTCCGAGGATACACAATGACCAAACTTTGCTAATATTTGAAGCAGATGAGTTGAACCCGTCATGTGTCTCACAGTAAGACCAACAGCAAGCGACTTTGGGGTCTGCTTCTGCCTTTCGAGGAAACATAAACGATGTCTTGGCAAATTGCATTTACCTTTGGGACAAACTGTTCAGCAATATCAACACATCTATCATTTGTTACATTGGTGTACTCGTCGTCGGATACAGCTCCAGTAATATGCGCAATATGGTTGAATAGTTCAGCTGGTACCATATTAGTCTTAATTAGGTCTTTACTTCTAGGGGGCCATTTGCTCTGCTCTGGCTGGACATTGTTTATTTTGTTCTTCAAATAAACACTTTTAAAATGGAAAAATGTCCCTCTGTTGTAAAGTTGTAATGAGTATTGTATAGGATTATACGTTTGAGGGAAGGACAAATAAATTTGAATAATTTCGTAATTTATACATTAATTTTGTACCCATTTATACATTTCGTTTGTCGAGTCAAATACAAACAACGAATTCATGCAACAAATTTGATGGGCTAACCAAATAAGCTTGTAACTAACTAAACCAAATAACAAACTGTACAAATATCGCTGTATATTTGTACTCCTTAGAATAATACACCACTAAAAAATCTAAAAGTTCTAACCTGACATAAACAATTCTTTAAATGTATTTTCAGAACTGCCTTCCTGACTTGTTTGATGCCTGTCAATTCTACTACTTCTAATCTCATTTTCTAAAACTTCTGAAGAGTCATTTTCATCACTTTCATCTTCAACACTAGAAACTTGACTTGTAGGCAAGTACTGCTGTGCTATGTCACCAGCTGTTACATTTTGACAATATACAATTGTGGATTCATTCCTAAAATACGGTATTATCAGTACAGGCATGTTAATTGTCAAAAACATATATAATTTTAGTTCTATTTGAGTGTATAGCATTGATCATAATGTTTTCACACTTATAAACGAAAAACACTGAGTGATTTACAAACCTTCTTGATGGAATGTGAAACACAAGTTGCTCAAAATCCCTTTGTAATCTCACTCTCAACATCTCAGATCTTAAAGAGAAAAAATGGGTAATTATCCAACTAAGACAATCAAGAGATGTGACATTTTTTACAAAAAAATGTTTCTAAAATAATAAATTAATGCATATAATGATATATAAGCCCATACCGTATGTTTTTTAGGTGCACACGTTCTTCAAGCTGTATATGTTTGAGAAGTAGTTGCTGCAATTTCGTCAAGCGCAGAATCTCACAATTCACTTCTAACCTTTCTTTGATCACTATTTTACAGAAAGCATCATAACCTGCTTTGTGCTCAGAAAAGAAGTTTGTTTTCCTAAAACGTAACATGTAACCATAAGGGATGGACCATTAGAAAAGTGATAAGGGGGGGGGGGGGGGGGGATTTTCTAAGAGGCAATATTTTTTTTTTTGTACACCTATAGAAGAATTTTTTTTTTCTCACTTGATGGCTGGAAATATATTTTTTTAATTAAAATTTATAGGCCTATCTTCCAAGGAAGGAATTTTTTTTTGCACTATGCCTGGGAAGATTTTTTTTTTCTAATTTTTTTCTGGGAATAAATTTTTTTTTGGGTTTTGCCACACCCCCCCCCATCACTTTTCTAATGGTCCGTCCCTAAATAAGAAATGTACTTTATTTCCTATTTGTATTGTTAATTTTCAAGTGAAGGTAAACAACAACAAAGACATCTGAAACATTATCTATAAAAATTAACTATAAAAATCAAAACTTACTTTTCACCAACAGAGTCATTTCCTTTTAAAACACGGACATAATCATTGTAGCAGCTCTTGTGGTACTGGACCTCAATACATGAACAGTCTTTTCCTCTAATGTCCTTCAAGATAGTTTCGTCATCTATCCTTTCAGCAGCACTACGAAGCTGGCCTAAAAAGTGGGAAAATGTGTGCCTTTGAAAATGTGTGCCTTTGAAAATGTGTGCCTAAAAAGTGGGGAAATGTGTGCCTTTGAAAATGTGTGCCTAAAAAGTGGGAAAATGTGTGCATTTGTGTGCCTTTGATAGACTACACTTGATAAGTTGACTATAAATCATTATATTTTAAGCAGAAAATAACCAACGTGATAAGAATACACACATACTGAACATCCCCTCTACTTTGGGCTTTTTATCTCAATCTTACCTGCATCTGATGTTTCTGCTTTAGACAATGATTCATGCACCCACTTTCCCTTAATCTTAGTCCTTTTAGTTAGCTTTTTGCAAATAATACACAACTTGGGTAGAATTGTATGTGGTTGTTGGGACATCTTTGGGACCTTGCTTCGGAGAAATGGCATTTTGGGTTTTGATGGTGGTACAGCTGGTTCTTCTTCCATTTTCCTTTTTCTCTCTAAAGTTCTCCTTGCCTGCATATAGAAATAAATAATCTACTATCTAACACAATGGCACATATATATAACTACAAAATACTACTACAAAAAAAAGGCTATTACGGTATTGCATAACATTTTAGCATAGCTTTTTAATACTTTATAAGAAATACATTTAAACAAATTTAATATAACTAATGCAAATAATACTCCCATTCCAAAAAAAAAGTATAATATTACAAATTACAATATGCTGTAAAATTAAATTGACAAACTTACCTTGTTTATAATAGAAATATTAGTAAATTTTTGATAGCACTCCTCGTGGAATCCAAAATCTGGATAACGTTGTTTGGCATCTTCCAACCGAATCAGGCCACTATTTATATCAACGAAATCGGTCAATCCTTTTCTTTCCAAAATGAGAGCAATGTCAAGTTGTTTTCCGTATAAACCTTTCCAATCTTCGATTCGTTTTACTAATGTCTCTAACCTCTTACTTGTTAGCGGTTTAATATCGCACTTTGCACGTCAACAATATGTAAATAACACTTGTTATTCAAATAAGGCAAAATTTGGGCAGAAGTTGAAGCCGCCATGTTGTTTCTAACCCTATCAACATTACACCCCTATTATCCCGTCAAAATCTTGATATGTTCCCTGTTAAACTCCCATTATCCCCGAAGCTGTAAAAAGGGTCAGAAAGATAAAATTTTCACATTTTGCAAAGGAAATTTTGGAACAAATATTTGATTTTATATTTATCATACTGTGATCTAACTAAATAACTAAAGTTTAGGTAGTTTCGTTATTCAGGAACGAAACTGAAAGATAGCAATTTCGCCCAATGGTCTACGACATCTTGAAAAATTCAAAATAAATATTTCTGGTCGGCGTATACATACGAAACTTTCTACACGAAAGCGCTTGAATACAAAGAGTATTTTACACATATAGCCGTTCAGCAAATGTCGAAAAGTTCAAGGGGTATTCAAGATCTTGTGTATATGAAATTTAGAATCTTTGGCCAAGCGGTGAGTAAATATATGATTGTTTCGGTTTGTGTAATGTTCTGACGGCACTTGACCCCCCGTTCGAAAGGTTATTTTATGAGGATTACAATGGTGGCTTTTATTTACAAGGGGGGTAAATACTCGCCGAGATACTTATTTTTGAAACATTGTGTCGTAATATGATGCGAATAGCTTGTGATAGGAAAGTAAACAATTAGATCATTGCACTAAAAGTGCTCTAGTTAAATTAATAACGAGCATAATAGATTTCATATTTTTATGTCTTTGTTTGACATTCGACAAAGCAGCAACACTCGCTAAGTACGAGGCGCGCATAAGTCTATACAATGAACTATAGAGTGCTCAAGAACGTGGTACCCCGAACGAGCATAATATATGATTTCGATATTTTTTGTTGAGTTTTTTTCTCAAGGTCTTGCTTACTTTATTTCCTTCCACTCGTGAGCTCACTACGTGATCATAGTGATCAAACGTAGTGTCCAGGCCTTGTGACCCTGGATGGACACTTAAAAGGAAGGAAACCACACTGTAAACGTAAAGAATTTTATTCATTATTGATATTAAAATTACATAGTCGTGTGTACGGTTCGTTCCTCTACGGCCACGACCTCTTCTATTTCTTCCCATCTTCGCACACTATTTCAAACCTAGGAGAAGCATTGTAAGACCAGGGTTGTCTGCCAGTTATATATACTCTAGGCAATTCATAGTGCAACAGGTAGAAACGAATGGTAATTATGCCACCAACAATAAGGTTACAGGTGTTTAAGTAAACAATTAGATCATTGCACTAAAAGTGCTCTAGTTAAATTAATAACGAGCATAATAACGAGCATAATAACGAGCATAATAACGAGCATAATAACGAGCATATTATTATATTATGCTCGTTCGGGGTACCACGTTCTTGAGCACTCTATAGTTCATTGTATAGACTTATGCGCGCCTCGTACTTAGCGAGTGTTGCTGCTTTGTCGAATGTCAAACAAAGACATAAAAATATGAAATATATATATATATATATATATATATATATATATATATATATATATATATATATATGTACTATTTAAAGCACGCGTAGGAGTGTTTTATCACATATAAAACACGACGTGTAGCGGAGTGTTTTATATGTGATAAAACACGACTACAAGTGCTTTAAATGGCTTCAAAAACGACTCATCTTGTACGAGTTCATTGGCGAAGTAATTTTTAAAATAAACTTTGTCTAAACCGAGAAAATCAAAGCTAAAGTTTATGTAAATTAACATGATTTTTTATCACATATTAAACCTCGACACGCTTATGATTTTTCTTTGTGTTTTGCTCCTGAATTATTAATGAGTTTTTGAAATATATATATATATATATATATATATATATATATATATATATATATATATATATATATATATATATATTAATAAGTCTATCTTAGTTAGTACATGCATGGTATAGTCTAGACCTCCTGATTTAGCACTAAGTAAACTAGTTACTTTCATTGTCGAATTTGGGCAAATGTTGGATTATTTGATGCGGAAAATTTAGATTATTTCCTGCTTGGTGATTTGAATGTTGACTTTATGTCAACAACCGAGTCACCATGCAAGCAGGCATAAAGTAAGAGAAATACTGGATATATACTATGTAGAACATGTAGTTAATAAATGAACCGACAAGGGTTACTGCTACATCTAATGCTCTGAATTGATCTATGTCTTATACTAACACATTTGTTAATATTGTGAAATCTGGTGTTATAAACCTGTTAGTGACCATTCGTTAGTATACAGTATATGATACGTAAGGCTCACGTACTATATACGAGAGGGTCCTGGGACAGTGGATACTAGAACAATGAAGAACTTTAACAGAGAATCGTTTCTAAGTGACTCTTGACCCTTGAACTAAACCATTGGGATGGTGTCTATACTGTTTCCAGGACCTTATCAACCTTAACAAAATGTGGGATGTATATATTTGGAAAAAATGCTGATGGAAACTATCGATAAGCACGCACCACTTAGATCCAGGAGAATTAGAAATAGGAAATCCCCTTGGATGACAAAGGGTATAAGACATCAGATATTTAACCGAGATTACCTAAAAAAGAAAGCTATTGCATCAAATGGCACTGATGATCCTGAAATCTAGCATCAATATCGACAAGCTCGAAATCACATTAATAATGAAATAAAAAAACTAAGCAAGTTGAACTGAATAAAGACAACATGAAAAACTGACATGTAATCTTATAAATGAGTTAAGCTCTATAGAAATGTAGGCAAAACTAAAAGAATAATATAATTAAATTTCGAAGAGCGAGAAATAACCGCGCCTATAGAAATAGCGGAAACATTATATAATAGCTACTTCTTGGGTATTGGCGCGAAAAACTCGCTTCTGAAATTCCTGTTCCTGTGCATGATCCGTGTTTTAATCTTAAACCAACTGATAATCTTTTTCAGTAAAACTCCCTCCGTCAAAACAGTTTATGATCAACTGTTGAGTACGATAGATGAGAAGACATCGGCTGGTCTGGACAATATACTAAAACAAGCAGTATTTAAGATAGCTTAGTGCAAGTGTATGGCGCGCCGCTTCGGCCAAAAGTATTCGAGATTTTAAAGCTATTCTAGATTTTACAGCTGTTGGAAACTGACAGATTAAGTAATTTGAGTATAGGGATTAATTATAGGGTAAATTATGTGACGTCATTTAATCAAAACGAGGGAATAGTGTTAGTGTGACAGTGACTACGAAGCGAAAGTGTGATTCATTGTGAACGTGTGATTCATATATTATATTAAAGTTTATTATTTGAACTTGTGACTTGTCGAGGACAACGTAGTTTTGGAGGCGAAACATTCTCGACACGTGGCACCTCCGACGGGATAACTGTACCGCCAGTAAAATAAACGAACTGTGAATCCCTTGAACATGGACGAAAAGACCAAGGCAGCGACAGATCTGGAGACACGCTTGACGCAGTTAAGTTTAGCAGTAAAGAGATCGCAATCTATCATCGAGTCAGGTAAGCGAGTAGCTATAAATAGGCATCTCGAAGCGTTACAAACTACCGCTAAAGAAGCATCACGATGCAAACTCGCTGTCGAGGCAATCAAAATTGTCGAGAAAGAGGACCAAACTGTGATAAACGAATGGAGTAACGAGATTGATGAGAAATTTGACGCGGCCGACGAGGCCACAATACGACTCGAAAAATGGCTTGCTGATGCAGATAAGGCCGAGCAGTTTGTAACGCAAGAGGAACAGTTGAAATTTGAACTCAAGTTGCATGAAAAAAAGCTGCAAATGCAAGCTGAACTTGCCCAATCCTCAGTACAAAAACCGGAAACTCAGAAATGTGAACAATTTACAACACAATCTGCCAAATTGCCAAAGCTTGTGATATCAAAATTTGATGGCTCTTGCATGAATTGGCCTAAGTTATGGGGACAGTTTAGCGAAGCAATTGATAAAAGTTCTGTCGCCCCGACTACAAAGTTCACATATCTTTTGGAGCTACTTGAGCCCAAAGCAAAGCGTTGCGTTGAAGCCTTGCCCTTTAACCCCGAAGGGTATAATCGAGCAAAAGCTAGCCATTTTGCAAGACAAATATGGCAAAGAGCCTGAAATCATCAAATGTTATGTGAAAGAATCTTGGACCTCTTGACGATTAATATCACGGGAAATAACCTTCGCAAGATAGCGGAATTTCACGAGAAACTTTCGCACTCAGTTCAAGCCCTCGAGACGATGAAAAAACTGCATGAAATCAACGGGAATGTTTCTATGACCCTTGACAAATTGTCTGGTATCAGGGGGGACCGATTTGGTCCGAACCGATCCCGATTGGGAATCGTGGGACTTTGTTAAATTAGTCGAGGCCCTAAGACAATGGGTTAAACGAAATCCTGCGGTCTCTAACGTCTCTAACGATAAGGAACGGAGAAGGGTCTAGTTTGAAAATTTAGCTCTTTATTTCCATTTTATGAGCATTCTTTGGTTACACGTTAAATATTTTTATACTTGATGAGATTCAAAATTTGTTGTGTATTCAAGCCCGGCTTCAGTGTAATTTTGATGATGACCAAAAAAACTGGCCGTGGCCTCAAGATAAAACTTTCTAAAAATGTTCTGTGTTTCATGTATTTTTATTTGATATCTTAGGTATAAGCGTAAAAATAGGGGCTCATACAGTTTACGAGGTTATAAAATGCATGACTTGTCTCTATTTTCATGTAAACATTCGAAATGTTTCGACAGCAAAGTAGCAACTGTTTTAGATCGAATGCACACGGACAGCACACCAGGGACAATGGCAGGGTACTGAAATAGAACGTCACTAAAAAATTCTGTATTATTAATTTAGAATCATATCCATTTTCAACGTAAAACAGTCATTTATTTTGTACCAAACATTTGGCAATATTTACACAATTGAGCCTTTTTGTAAACACGCGTTGCGTGTACTCCACACAATTGCGTGGTTCATTTTGCTCGCGCATGCTCAGACAAATTTCCCACCTGTTGACATGATATGAAATCTGATAGCAAAAACTTGTGTTATATACTGTAATTAATTTACCTGTATGTCAATGAGACGCGCACATGTTTAATATCTGTCACCTGTGATTGCCCTTTAACTTAAACCCTTTGTGTCAGATCGACTGTCGCTACTCTTCGGGTTTCAGTTGTTGGGTGGAAGAGATGAAGACGAGGGGGTGCTATGTGAAGTGCTCGCTGGAGCAGAGGATGTGGAGGATTCTTCAGGAACACTGGGGACGAAGAGGATTGTTCAGGAACACTGGGTGGGGCAGTTGACGAGGAGGATTGTTCAGGAACACTGGGTGGAGCAGTTGACGAGGAGAATTGTTCAGGAACACTGGGTGGGGCAGTTGACGAGGAGGATGCCTGAGGGACACTGGATAGAACAGAGGATGACTGAGGGACACTGGGTGGATCAGATGATTCATCAGAGTCTAATCCTTCAGTGCATGCCCACAAATGCTCGCGAAGATTGCGAACAAGAACTTCTTTGTTACACATCTGACATACCTCTTTAATCTCACACCGGCTTTGTTGTACCATAGGTGAGGTGGCCAATGATCTCTGGATAGGCCGCAAGTAAACTTTACCCTGCCCATCACCCAAAGAGGAGTGTAGGTCTTTAGCATTCCATGAACAGTTGATGACGGTGAGATCTCTGCAGTTTGAGGTGCATCGCATCATTTCAAACCCCCCGCAGGTTTTTAACTGTGGAAATCCCATTGCATTTCCTGTGCTATCTTGCATTTCGGACATTATTTTGTCTGTTACCATAAGCTCGTCATCTTCTAGATCGAGCTTGATCTTTTTCTAGCCCAGAACAGCTCTAAACAAAATCTGTTTTTCTGCTGCTGATGGTGTCTTTGTTGCGGTGGTGTCAGCAAAACAAAAAAAGGTTGGCGTCCACGGGTGACGTTTAGGCGCCCTCCTGCCGGCGCCACTCGTGGTGCTTCTTGCCGCAGCACGTGCCTGAGTGCGCCTGTTGTGCCTACGGGGATTAAAAATTGCCAACCGTTCTTGGCGGGCAGCTGACACTTGGCTCGAACTCGAAGCACTGCTTGTCGAAGCAGTGCTTGGCACTTCGATCTTTTCTTTTGCACGTATCACGAAGACGAATGCGATCTCCTGTCGTGCTCACGCCGAGGCGAACCAATTCCTGATCCGACGCGGCCATGGTGGTCTCAGGCTTCATGCGCTGTGCTTGGAATCGACAAAGAACTGTCTCCATGCCCAGAGATCGAAGTATTTCGTCCACGACAAAACAAATAACACTAAATAGCACTCTTTTAAAATTAATCGTGTTCGAAGTAAACGTTTTTTCCCCTCCAAGAACTCTAAATATATTGCGAAAACTTGCCGTCGCAAAACATATAAATGTTAACATGTGATCGAAGTATCAATATGTTCGAGACATGAGGTATAAAATATTATTCTTTCTAAGCCGCTGTCCAAACACCACCACGAACTACCACGAACTACCGCGAACCACCGCGTATAATGGTGAAAGCACCGCGTATAATGGCGAAAGCACCCAACAAAATGCCATTTGATCACATAAGACAGCTATACTATATGAACCCTGCAGCAGAGATATGAACCCTGCTTCCCTCGATATTCGCAACTTTATTATTAATAAAGTATAATAAACCGGTTCATCACATCGATAAATAAACACTGAATATAAAAACTAAACTTACAGATACGATATTGTCACTTTATGTACTGAAAATTTCGGGTAAAACACTTTAAAGACACATCTTTGAGTAGCCTGCTCGCAGCATTGAAAACATTTTGTTGAACAACCCCCTCAAATTTACAAACGAACTTGAATACTTAATGTGGCCCGGAAAACCGACATCTGGCACCGAATTCAAATCGAGATTTCGACTATACATAACTCGGCCGGGGGGACTGGACACGGAAAAAGCAAGAACGTCATGTAATGTCAAGAATAGTGTGCTGCCTCGCTGACGCTCGGCAGCAATTACAATATCAGATTATTTTGAATCCCCCCTGACAATCCAAACGGTAAAGAAGGCAAGGTGGCCAAGCAGGCGCGGTAGTAATTATCGTTCTTTCAAAGTTCCATAGAATTTGGGTTTCGAAACATTTTGTGAAAAATCCATTCCAAAAATTATAGGAAATGCTAAAATTGCCTTGTATGTTCGAAGATGGGTGTTTATTCTATACGCTGACGAATTTTTACCGAGAACAAAGCAATTTAAAGGGGATATTTTTCGAGTTGAAGTGTTCGTGTCGCCGGTTTGAGAACGGGAATAGTTAGCCTTTGCTTTCATTCCTATTACCTATGAAGACAGTCGCAGGCATAGCGTGTAAAGTCATCCAGAAATAAAAGACTATCAGTCTATCACATACAAACAAAGTAGGCAAGTAAATATATTACAAATTTTACTGTGTAGTATATTCTATAATTATATATATATATTTACTATATACTGATACATGTCTGGGCCGCCTGTGGCCAAACCATATGGGCCAAACACGTGTTTGTCCGCCATTTTTTTCCCAATCCTCATGTGATAAAAAAATTCTTAGGGAAAGTACATTTATTATGCCGACAGGGGGTGGGGGGATGAAGATGTTAAGGCGGGGCACCGAAATATTTTCTGGCATTAAAGGGGCTCTGCGAAAGTTCTCGATATACTGAAGGGGGGGGGCTCTAAACTTTTCAAAGTTTTGGTCCAGCAGGGACCTGGAGTGTTCACTCCCACCATAGTTAATAGAATAGATGGTTTGGAAACTCATTAGAATAACAATATAACTCATTACCTATGTTAGTGAGCAATAACATTCATAGATCTGGTCTTTTACCGTCACGTGAGTATTGTATTTTTGCCTGACTAACCAAAAGCAATGTTTTAGGAAAGTTACCTATCGATGACTCAAACAATAGGGTAAATTGAAAATTGCTATTGGTGGACATGGCAAAAATATAATACATATGTGACGGTGAAAGAATATATTTATGAATAAACGTTGACTAACATAGATAATGAGTTATATTGCTATTGTAATGATTTCCAAACTGTCTATACTATATTAACTGACATGGGGGTAGCTCCACATGGAATACGTAAAAGAAGGCTGCAATACGCCTGTCAAAAATGCATGCAAAACCACCAATATGCTTCAACTTCTGAAATTTTCATTCTGCATGTTTCTACCAAATTGTCCATGAATATAGAACATATCGTTCTTACAAATCGTTTTTTTTTGTTTTTGGAATTGCTACTTTTTGGCGGGTAAATTACGTCACATTGAATCCATTTGTAGAGCAGACCAAGGGTACTTTAATTAAACTGAAATCTGTTTCTAAATACAGCCAAGGGCGTCAATCCTGGGGGGGAGGGGGGAGTGTGTGGGGGGGGGGGACGCGTCCCCCCCCCAGTTTTTT